ACATAAACTAATTTAATTAGTCACGTTAAAATCACAAGTTAAGCTGAAAATTGACGCACCGAACACGCCACTACCTTCGCCCACTGCCTTAATCTCGTTTTCATCGTCTCCGGGTCTTCAACTGTCATTACAATTCAACAAATCACATAAATTGAGTCAAAATTTCAATTACATTTCATTAACTCGGCCTATTTCTAGAAATAAATAATAATCTGACTTAGTACACGAAATTGTCAAAATCATTAAAAAAATTGCTAAAGGACCGAATGTTCGTAAATGGAAGCTTGTTCGTGTTTGACAATAACTTGTTCTTCTGTTAATCGAGCCAAGTTCGAACTGAAAATTAGGCTCGTTTGTCAGACGAACACATGCTCGTTCGCAAAAGTTTGTTCATAAATTTGATATAAATTTTAATTTTATTTATTTTTATAAGCTGATATTTTTTATACAATAATTCAAATATGAAGAAAAAACATTCAAGCTCGAACTAACGGATCTCGAGTTAATCAAACAATTATAAAATTTTTGTGTAAAAATTATTCGAACACGAATGAACTTAAACTTTCATGAACATTAAATGAACGACATGGTGTTAATTGAACATGTACAGGGACCAAAATGCTCAAACTCGACTCTTCGCATAACCCTACAAAAAAGTCACTATCTTGCAAAATTATATATATATGTATGTATATCATTTGACAAAGTTAATGTACAAAGAATCATAAAAAATGATACCCTAAATTATCAAATTGGCCCTTTTTATGATTTGGTAAGTGTGTAGTACATTAAATTTGATGAGCGTTAATTAGTATATTAGTATTTATACAAATAAATTTAGTTACTGAAAATGGATTTAAGCCCAAGATTATTATTATTATTATTATTATTATTATTAATTTCTCTTTTACCATATTGAACAACAATGATTGATTACAGTGATGAGCCCAAAAACCTAAAGAAATTCAATGTGCATTAAATACACACATTTTTTCCTATCTGCACTGCATCAGAGTTTTCTCCCTTTTCCTCGATTTCACCTTTTCGTTCATTTTCTACTACAAATTCGGTTGAAAGTGTAAGATTTCGCAATTTGTAGGATTCTAATTTTCAGGTAATTTTTATATATGGAGTCTTACATTTTACAAATTCTTAATATTTTTTTATTTTAAAATTTAGTTTTAGAAGACCCATGTAATTTTAAGACTAAAATTTTAGGTTTTTAGATATACACAATATAGATTTATTTTGGTGCCAATGGAAATCTAATCATATCAAGTCAATGACTTGTCAATTATCCAAACTAACCCAAAATCCATTTTATATTAATAAAAAATAAAATAATAAAAAAAAAAGTAGTTTAATCACGCAATTAGCGCTGTTAAAAACTTAAAACTCCTCACCTAGATCAATAACTGGCTGGGCAGCACCGGCGGGACACGACGCCGACCGGAAAATCTCGCCGCCGTACTGCCGCCGGCAGACGGCGCGGTACAGCCGGAGCGCAGGGAAGGTGGATGAGAGTTTCGGGTCCAGATCGGGCGAGTCGAATCGGAACCCCAGGTCCAGGCAGCCGCGGAGCTCGTCGAGGTCATCGTCTGTCAAGTCGCCGTCTTCGCGCCGCCGCATGAGGTGGTTCCGGCGGCGATTGGTCCAGGCCACTTCCCGGAGGACGTCCGGCGACCACGAGCACTGCCTGAGCAGCGGCTGCGGCGGACTCCGCGGGGATCCGAGGTGGCGGAGCGGGTCGGGTTCCGCCATGTTGAGTCGATACGACGCCGTCGATTTAGGATTTTTAATTATTTTTTCCCCCTTTTAAAGAGTTTCCTTAAGCGGGAATGAAAGGAGGATGAGCCGATGGCGAGGTATAAAAGGGAGGGAGCTGTGTGTGGGCCCAAGGATGGGATGAGGTGGACCCGGCCCACGAGATAATATTTCAAGCTAATAGTATACTACTTACTGGGGCCACCTGTTAATTATTATTATTATTATTATTATTATTATTATTATTATTATTATTTGTAGAAAAATAAGTTGATTATTCTTTATAAATAAAATATTAGATTATGTTAATTTCGTGATTTAAACTCTTTAATTTCGTTGTTCTAGTAAAAATATAACTACTATTATTTAAAACTGGTGCAATCATGTGTAGATGTGCATATATTTTATATAAAATGTTATCAATATATGTTTGCAAATAATATTAAAATTATAACAATTTATATAATGATATTACATTTTAAAAAATTGGTCAGTGGTAAAATATAGTACAAAACTATTTAACTATATATGAATCACTATATTAGTTGCATAAAATGTAAAAAATAATTTATTTTTTTGTAATTTCGAGGATCGTGACGAATTAGTTAGATGAAAAAATATTAATATTATTATTATAAAAATTATTTATGCAATTTAAGGGATTTGGCTATTTGAAATCAATTATTAATAAATATCGCTTGATGCTATTGCTTTTATAAATAATGGGAAAAAATTTGCAATATAAACTTTTATACTCATGTAACTTCTATATATCAATAGTGTGAAATATAATTATTTAGTTTTCATAGTAACTATTATATGATATAATGGCTAAATAATAAAATGTAACCACTTATTACCATAATTAACCTAAAAAGACAGAGGAAAACAACAAAATTTAGCATTGATGGATATCCATAATCACAACCCACACAC